TGTTGAAATGATTTAATAAAATAACTCTTAAGGTTTCTTTTGCTTCTTGGGACCTTTGTCAGTGTGTGAGCAGTTGCTGCTGGCTGCCATATATCCAGGTTTCCAAAGACTTTACCAAGCCAGAAGAAAAACTGCATAACACTCATCATTTTTATACTCACATCCTGTTCAATAAACAAGAAAAAGAACAGAAGAATTGAGAAGCTTGTTCACTGATTAAATAAAAAAACATAAAGACAGAGCAGTCGAACTGTGTTTTCCACCATTGAATTTTGGAGGTCAGACTTTGTACTGTTCAGGGCACTGGTTGAGAGGGTGCCCTGGGAGAGAGTCCTGAATGGGCAAAGGGGTTCAGGAAGGCTGGACATTCTTCAAGGAGGGAGTCTTAAAGGCACAGGAGCAGGCTGTCCCCGTGTGCCGCAAGGCAAACTGGCGGGGAAGACAACCATCCTGCCTGAACAGGGAGCTCTTGCTGGGACTCAGGAAAAAAAAGAAGGTCTACCACTTATGGAAGAAAGGGCAGGCAACTCAAGAGGAGTACAGGGGTCTCATTAGGTCATACAGAGAGGAAATTAGAAAGGCAAAAGCCCAGTTAGAACTCAGGCTGGCCACTGTTGTAAGGGACAACAAAAATATTTTTACAAATGCATCAACAACAAAAAGAGGGCCAAGGAGAATCTCCATCCCTTACTGGATGTGCGGGGGGAGTATTGCCACCAAGAATGAGGAAAAGGCTTAAGTGCTTAATGCCTTCTTTGCCTCAGTATTTAAGTCAGGCTGGTTGTTTCCAGGGTAGTCAGCCCCCAGTGCTGGAAGATAGGGATGAAGAGCAGAATAAACCTCCCATAATCCAGGAGGAAGCAGTTAACAACCTGCTATGCCACCTGGACACTTACAAGTCTTTGGGGCCTGATGGTATCCACACAAGAGTGCTGAGGGAACTGGTGGAGGAGCTGGCCAAGCGACTCTCCATCATCTCTCAGCAGCCCTGGCTAACAGGGGAGGTCCCAGATGACTGGAGGATCACCAGTGTAACATCCATCTACAAGAAGGGCTGGAAGGAGGATCCAGAGAACTACAGGCTTGTCAGCCCGACCTCGGTGCAGGGCAAGGTTATGGAGTGATTCATCCTGAGTACACTCACCAGGCATGTGAAGGACAACCAGGGGATCAGGCCCAGCCAGCATGGGTTCATGAGAAGCAGGCCCTGCTTGACCAACCTGATCTCCTTCTATGACCAGGTGACCTGCCTAGTGGATGAGCAAAAGGCTGTGGATGTTATGTACCTGGACTTTAGTAAGGCCTTTGACACTGTTCCCCGCAGCATCCTCCTGGAGAAACTAGCTGCCCATGGTTTGGATGGGTGTACTCTTTGTTGGATAAAGAACTGGCTGAATGGCCAAGTGCAGAGAGTGGTGGTGAAAGGAGTTAAATCCAGCTGGCGACCGGTCACAAATGGTGTTTCCCAGGGCTCAGTTTTGGGTCTGGTCTTTTTTAACACCTTTATCAATGATCTGGATGAAGGCATTGAGTGCTCTTTCAGTAAGTTTGCAGATGACACCAAGCTGGGCGGGACTGTCGATCTGCTTGAGGGTAGGAAGGCTCTGCAGAGGTATCTGGACAGGCTGGATCGATGGGCTGAGGCCAACTGTATAAGCCTGCCGTAGAAAGAGGAACAGGAGGGAGCAGCAAGGGGTTATTTCAGATTTGATGCTTGACTCTGTCACTCACGCAGAGGGTGAGAGTCTCCCTGGGCTAGATTTAGTATGCAGGGGTGCAGGGAGATAAAACTGACTGCACGTCTGGATCCAGCGAGGTGTTTTTACCCCTTGGCTCCTCTACAGATTTTCTTTCCTCCCAGCACACTGGGGCACAGCCCATTGGGCAGCTCACTGGGGAGCTTTAATATTTATTTTCCCATTCTGATGTCCCTAATGTTACTTTCCCCCTGGACCAGTGACAAAAGGGAAGGGGAAGAGGCCAAAATGGGTATTTTGAACGTGGTGAAAACTCTGAACTCCAGATCTGGACCAGAGTCAGGGCAAGTCCTGGATATTAATGGCCTCAAGGTGCATCAGGGGAGGTTTAGATTGGATACCAGGAAAAATTTCTTTCCTGAAGGAGTGGTCAGGCATTGGAACAGGCTGCCCAGGGAAGTGGTTGAGTCACCATCCCTGGAGGCATTCAAAAAACATGTAGATGTTGCACTTTGGGATATGATTTAGTAGGCATGGTGGTGTTGGGTTGATGGTTGGACTTGATGATCTTAGAGGTCTTTTCCAACCTGAATGATTTTATGATTATCTTTACCTATAGTAGCTAACTAGTAATGAAAAAAAAGATAATATTTAAGGACGTTTTAAAAAGCCCAGATCTTAATCATAAAGCTCAACAAAGGATTCTTTCTTTGTGGCAGTTGTGATTCCTTGGCCAAGACCGCATTTACTTTTTCCTCATTTGAGATTGCTCCTGGAAATCGATGGGTAATAGATTCTATTTAAAACTGAAGGCAGCCTGCCAAAACCTCTTATTTTAATAACAGCTATGATTTTACATGTGTCCACATATAGAGACAGTCATGCGCATATTTCCAGCCCTGGGAAGACCTAAAGCTGAGCTACAGTATTTCATATTCATTTAATAGTGACCTGGGTTAAAGAAATATGGATTTCTCTATCTCTGTCACCTAATTTGCAGCATCCTGGTCCTCCTTAACTTGGCCCAAATAGTCCTGTCAACCTTTATTCTTTTTTATATATATTTTTTTATATATATACACATGTATATATAAAAATTTTCAGCAAAAGTGAAAAGTTCTTCTTCATTAAACAAATGTATTATAAATCATCAGTATTTTAGGTTACTTTGCTGTCTATATTAGTCCTCCTATCTTTCATTCCCGACACTGAAGCATCTTCTCCCACCCAACGTTCTTTGTTTCTGCAGTGTCGTCTTCCAAAAAGTCAAATTCTCTGGAACACCAGCCAAATCCCTATGAAATACTGATGTTAACTGTGCTATTATTTGTGGAGAATGGGCTTTGTATAGCTATATGCCAGGCTGTATTGTTACATAGATTCAAATAATCATTTTGGGGAAAAATGAGCCATGAGACTAACAGTTGTGATGAATCGATCCAATATCCCATTGCTCCTGTTAAAGAGACATTAAAAGGCTCTTGTACAAACATTAGAATGATTATATAATGCCTAAATCATTTAAATCCTACTATACTATAAACATACCTTTAATTATTATTTTGTGTAGATGAATATTTACAAAGAGAAATGCCAATGAATAATTTTTTTCCCTGCTGTGTACACAAACTTGAGTAGTGTCATTCGAAACAGCCCAGCTTCTCCAAAAGTAGTTAATCTCAATTGGCTTCTAAAGTGTCAAAACAGAAGAAAACCCAAGCACCTCCATGAAATTCAATAACTCCAACAGGAAAAGCTCATCAAGATTTCTCTCATAATATTGTGAACATACTGTCTTCTGAATCACAATATCCTAAAGCATAAAATATAACATGCAAAATCAAATATCTTTGAGCACTGATTATTGTACACAGCAACCCCTGTATTTATCTGCTGCACGTGGAGCTGGTAAACAGAGGACAGAATTAAAAGGCTTCAGTATTGATTCATGTTAGTGAAAGACAAAAGTAAAATCTTTCCCCACTCACTATTCAGCTCCAGCCTGAGCCCAGATATGCCTCTGGAATTTGAGAAAAGGTTTTAATTTTCAGCTAGGAGCTCAGCACCTTAGCCTTGTAGCCTCCCAATTACAGTCTTGTCCATCCTGTAGGCTTGGTATGTAGGTAGATATGACCGGGCTTTTAGGTAACCCTTGCTGAGGTATTCAGTTCAACTGTCAGTTTGGTAGAAGACCCTTTTTAAGTATAGAATTTTTGTAAAATGTCTTTATTTCAGTAGTGGCTGACTGCCACAAACCCACCCTGTTGTACTGGATGCAGCTCTGTCTCTCTTTCCTAGAAGCTCTCACGCTCTTTTCTGTAGCCCACTATTTGCTCTTTCCCAGTTTTCTGTTCCTTCTTCCCTTCCTGTTCATTCTCCGTA